TTCCCTGCTGCATTGGACTCCTCCTTTGTCACATATTAAATGTGTATACATAAGTAGGGTTTACTGTCATGTTATCTATCCAGTGTCATTGAGCTTAGTGTCTAAAGAAATTTGATTTGGACTTGTTGAAATTTGAAGCGTGAGGCTTCTAGATGGTGAGATGCAGTTGGTTGTTTGATTTCTGAGTGAGGAATTCAAGAGAAGTGTCTTGGTAATAAACACAGAGTTGGGTATCATTCAAGAATGGGTGGAGGTTAAAACCATGGATCCAAGTAACATCCCCCAGGCAGCACATGAAGAACCCTAGGAACAGCAGGCCACAGAATGCCCCAGGGGAGTACCCCAGTCCAAGGGCATGGAGAGGAGGAAGCACCTACAGAGGAGGTCCCGAGGATCAGAAGTGAAGAGCATTTACAGTGCTGAGTGGATGACTAACAGTGTCAAATCCCATGAAGAGTCCAGACAATAAAGAACAGGTAGTGTCCATGATGTCTGATGTCCAGGGAGGTCCCCAGTGACTTCAGCAACATTTGGCATCTGGGGGGAAAAGCCAGGTGGGTGGAAGAGTGAATGAGATAAGAAGGGCCTTGTAGAGAGTGACCTATTTCCCCACGAGAGGAAGGAAATAAATAGGGCAATAATGAGAGGTTGAGGGGACTCGACAAAGGATTTTCATTGGGAGGAATTTCAAGTGTGTTCATATGCTGAGGAGAGTCAGAGAGGAGTGGGTGATGTGAATGCAGGAAGCAGAGACAGGAGAAATGGCGGAAATGGTGGATGCGGCCTGAGGTGATGCAAGGCGTGGCCTTGGAGAGGGTGGAGTGGATGTCAGCTCTCCTGCTCAGGACGTGGAGGGGAGCGGGTGGTAATGTGGAACGATTTGCTGAGGAAGTTCCTCTGAGGCCAGTGGCCTCTTTGCTGGGTGAATTTGGAGGCCACGTTGTCTTAGGGGAGTGAGAAGAGAGGTAGAGGCCAGGGCCTTGGCACAGAAGCTCGCGCTATTCACAGGGCAGAAGGCAGTGGGAAGGTTACCAGAGCTGCTCAGAGAGGCCTCGCTCACTCAGATAGGGATGTTGTCTGTCTGCCTAGCCCTGTGCTGGGCACTGGGGCTGCAGGGCCGGGGGAGGCCCAGCACTTGACAGTTGGTAGTGAGAGGTAGATAAGCATAAGCTAAAAGGAGTGAGTAGGGGTGCTGCACCGGGAGTCTTGTGTGGCACACGGGGGATGCAGAGAAGATTCAGAAAAGACTTCATGGAGAAGGGGATGCTTGCGCTGGGCCTAGACAGAAGAGTAATATTTGCTAAATAATGGGAGTAGGTGAGCGGTGAGACAGCCCCCCTGCCCCCCGCCGCCCCAGCACTGTGACCAAAGAGAAAAAGCAGCCAAACGGAGGCATGGCAGCATAAGACAACCATCAGAAGTTGCCATGCCCAGAGCCAGGGCCAGGGAGGAAGGAGGGCGGGCATGGGAAAGCTGGGCTGAAGAAGGGCTGGCCCGGAAGCTCTGCTCCATCCCATGGAGTGGAGAACCATCGAGGGGTCCAAAGAGCATAGTCAGTTTGCCTTTTGTAAGGATCACTTGGTGACAGTACCAAGGCTAGCTAGGAGCCAGAAAGACCGAGGGCCGGGACCCCCATAAGGAGGAAACTGCTGTGATGTATTTCTGAGAGACAGTACGGGTACCTGAACTAGGCTAGGAGCAGTGAGGCGGGAGCGGAGGGACATGCTGCAGTGTGTCAGGGACAGGAGATGCAAGGGACTTTGGTCACTGGATGTGGGGAGTGAGGGAGGGGTCTAGAATGGCTCCCAGATCTCTGACTTGGGTGACTTGGTAGAGGGCACTGAGACTTTAGGAGAAGGCCCAGTGTTGGGGTAAGACAGTGAATTCAGATGTAAGTATGTTGCATCCATGTATCTGGCGAGGTCCCTCAGGTAACTGGTTCCCAGGGTCTGCGCTCTGGAAAAAGATGTGGACTGCAAATAAAGCATTTGGAATGAGATGAAGTGCAATCTGCCAGGGTGCACATGAGAGCAACAGGGAGAGAGAGTGTGTGAGTGTGTGTGTGTGTGTGTGTGTGATGGGGTGGACCATACAGTTGAGGAACTCACTCCTCTATGGACTGGGTCTCTCTCTTCTTTGGTGGCCCCAAAAAAGGTTGATGGGGAGCAGGCTAGAAGGTAGGAGGAGAGCCAGGCAGGCAGAAGCACGGAACCCCCAGTGGGAGGAAGCAGGGGGAGACTGGCCACCCACAGCAGGTGGCATGGCAGAAAAGACACTTGTGGGAGGTCTGCAGAGGAGCCCCCAGATGTTGATGGCCTTGCTGGAGGGGAGCAGTTGCCAGGAATGAGAGATTCTGTGGGGGCAGTGATGGAGGGGTGAGTGGGTGAGGCAAGAGGTCTAACAAGGCGGCTAGCGCCGTGTGGGCGTGTGGGCTCAGGAGAAGCATGAGCGCAGAGGAAAGGGGAGAAGCAGGAGTGGTGGTGGGGGGGCATGATCAAGGGAGGCCTTTTGTTAAGTTATGACTCTGAGGTATTTGTAAACTGGGGAAGGAGCTGTGGGAAGGCAGGGGCTGCGTGTTCCTATGGGAGAAGGTGGGGGCAGGCCCAGTAGTTGAGAGAAGGGGATTAGGAGGCGGAGAGGGAAGGAGGTTAGGATGGGTCCTGCCAGGAGCTGGCTGGTGGACTGAACACAGCAAAGGGAAGGCCTTCCCACCGACGGCAGTGGCTTCTTTTTGAAACAGAACAGGTCGTCTCTGAGGTCGGAGCAAGGGGAGGCTGCCGCACTCGCGTCAGGGACTGGAGAGAATGGTAGGCTTCGAGAGAACCCTTGAGGGCGATGAGAAGAGAGCCAGGGGAGCAGGGGGGCGGTGGGGGAGGCAAGAGGGGAGACTGCGGCTTCCATAGGCGGAATTCTGTAGCCTCAGCACAGCCCCCTCATCATCCCTGGCAGGGCAAGAAGAATGGGCACAGCAGCGTGCCAGGGCCAGAGCCACAGGACCCCAGGGAGAGGCGATCAGCAGAGAGGTTCCTGGAGTCCAGCCAAGAAGAAGAGGGGAGAAGCAAAGTGGGCAGTCAGGAGTAGATCGGCATGGGGTAAGAGTCAGAAGGAGGCCACGGTCAGAGTTTGAGATCTAGAGTCCACCATTTTAGCACCGGGGCTGCTCCAGCTGCGAGCTCCAGATAGGACGCTGACAAAGACCTGTTTGGTGTCTCTGCAGAGCTCAGCCCCACCTGGGCCGGGAGCCCTCGAAGGCCAGGCCACAGGTACATGGCATCAGGGGCTCTGCTGACATCCCACCCCCACCATGTCCCAGAGAGCAGTTTGCAGCATTTATTAGCAGGAACCATCTCCCAGGGCCCCGACGTGGGCAGGTTGATAAGGAAGTAGTGCCTCTTGCTAGTAGGCGCTACCGAAGATTCTGGCCCATGGCTGGGGTTTATGCCTCACCAGGCCAGCCTAGGATGCTGGATCGGTGACTTCTTATTCCCCCTGACTTGCTCCCACTGAATCCTATCTTTTCTCCAATAAGGTAGACAAAGGCAGAACCCCCACCCCCCACACACACCCCCAGGCTATGCCCATTTCGGGGAGAACCCTGGTTGTCACTGGGCTGGTCACTGTGAAGAAGCTCAGCTTCTGCCCTCCATACCTTCTCCTGCTGGGGTATTTATAAAGGCCCAGAGGAGCCTCTGGAAATGACCCCCGAGGTCTAACTCCTCTCTAGAGACCAAAGCCCCTGGGTGTCAGGGCAGGTATTTTCTTCTGGAGAACAGGCATGTTAGCTTTGGATCCTGTGCCAACAGACAAGGAGAGCCATTTCTCCATCACGTGCTTTCCAAGCCGGCACCCAAGCCTGCACCCAAGCCTGCAGTCTCAGCGCAGGGCTTCATGAGGTACAATGGAATCCTGGCCTTTCACAGTCAAGGGATATGTGTCCCTTTTAGTAGATTTGGGGTACTTCCCAAATGACTTGGCATTTACTCCTAAGAGGCCAGCATTGGAAAAGGAGGAGATGGGGGCTGGTTGGCTCCTCTGTGGATGGGACAGCTGAAGCTAGAGCAGATACCCTTGCAGTCCTCCTTTGGACCTCCAGAAGCATCTTCCTAGGGCCTAGGGAGGGGGACCCTCCTACACTGGGGCCAAAGACCGTAACCCAGGAGCCTGCTTCTTCTGCTTGCTGCTCTGCTCCCCACGGATGACCAGTATCCCTAAAGGGCTGCGCCTGGGTGTTGCACTCTGAGTCCAGGGCAGACCACCTGAGTGATGGCTTAGAGGCTACCCCTCCCCATCAAGAAAAACAGTGGGGAGCAGGGAGGCAGTCTCAAATCTCAACACACACACACACTCTCACACATCTCCCAATAGCTGCTGGAAGTCCTTCAGACCAGGCCCTGCCCCTGTGTTTGGTTGCTTGGACTCTAGGCTGACTGCCAGTGTCCCCCCACCCCCACCCCAACACACACACAGCTGTTTATCTACCTTGTTCATAGGGAGGCAGTGGGAGAAGGGGAGAACATGAGAACATTTCCTGGCCCCCAAGGCTCAGGAAGGAAGGAAAAGAAGGACTGTGGCTGCTGGAGCCTGGGCGGCGGGGGGGGGGGGGGGGGGCCATGACATGATGGCAGGGGTGGTCCTGCGTCAGCAACGGGCCCTGCTCTGCACTTGCAGCCACAGCTCACTCTCCATCCTCAGATTGGCCCCTCTGTCAGCAGGGCCTGGAAACAGCTGGAGGTCTGCTTTAGCCTTCCTTTCTAAAACCTTTCCTCTCTGATCTTTTCATCACCTTGAATCACCTTCCCCACCCACTGGGATCTTCCCCCCTCCTTAAATCTGAGAGAGGGAGCCAAGCCCTTAGGGTTCCCACCACCCCACTGCCTCCCAGTGTCTACGAGGGGGAGCTGCGGGAAGTGCTCCTCTCATCCACAAGGACCACATCCCAGGAATGGGAATTGACCCCTGATTCCTGTGGAAGCGGTCAGGAGCTGGCCCCCATTTCTTACCACACACTCATTCTCATGATGACAGCCATAGGGAGCTGCTTCTCTCTGTGGCAGAAGTCAGCCTGGTTTCTCCACCCAGGAATGGGTTTCATGTGTCTCTCTGGGAGAATCCTGTTGATAAGTATCTTGCCGGAGTGCATCTTATGTGTCATTCCTACTTTTCTGAATTCCTTTTGATGATGATCTGTGGGGCAGAAGCAGGGGACATCAGCTTGTTCTTGCAGTAACTGACAGGACAGGTTTTTTAGAGGGCTTGCTTTCCTGCATCAGGATCATGTTGATATATTAAAACAAGAGCCTTTGGGTACTGCTTGCCTGCAGCCTGGCCATCCACCAGGGGTAGAGAAGAAGCCAAGCCTTCCTCTCCCTCCCCCACACCTGATATAACTTCCCTTTGGCACAAAATCAGGGACGCTTCTGTGAAAACGGGAGCTCCCCAAACTCCTAGACAAGCCAGGCTGTCCCCCCACCAATCCAGCCCTGGGCTCACCTCCAGCCTCCATCCCACACCAGTCATGGACCCCCCGCTCTCGTTCCCCTGTTGCCCTACAGCGGGGCCAGCCCACACTCTTGGCACCTCAAGATTCATTCTCTTAGCAGAGTTCTGCCCACAGAAATGGGAGGCCTCTCCTTCCTTACCTGGACAGACAAGATAGACCCCCTCCCGGAGATGAGCCCCGAAGATCACAAGCACATCTTGAACTCTGGAGCCTGCAGGGCCCACATGCACTGGGGTACACACACACACACACACACACACACCACCCTTTTGTAAACACTCAAGTGGCTGAGCTACGGAGGCCGCCAGGGGACCTAGGCCTCACTGCCTGCCCTAGACCTCTGGCACCTGGGCCAACCATGGTGGTGGTGAGTGACAACCGCTTCGCTTTTTACAGCCTTCAGCTGTTCTGAGGGCTATTTATATTCTCTTGAAAAAGTGGGGGAGGCTGATTGCTTAGCTAATGCTGAGCTCTGACTCCCTGGAGCAGGAGCTGAGTCCATGGGTCTCAGGGTCACCTTCTGAAAGCCCCAAAGTTTGGGATCCAGCATACTTAGCCCTTCTGCCCCCTGGGGGCTTCGCTGGCTCTCCTCCAGGCCACCCCAGCCCCCTGTGCCCAGCAGGCCAGCTCCCCCCACCCTGTCCCCGCCCCTCCATAGGCATCCAGTCCCATCCATTGCTAACCTTCCTGCCCTCCCCTCACGGTCATCCCCTTTGAGCCCCAGAGTGACTTGTCTTCCCACCTCCCACTTCCCACCAGCACCCCCTCAACCACACATGACACCACACACCACAGTGGGTCCCCATCGGGACAGGGCCCTTCCCTGACCTGCCAGGGACTGGCCACCAGACATGATGGCCAACCCCCTCCGAAGCCAGAGGGCTGACCCCAGTCCTGCTGCTGCCCTTTAGACAAACGTGCAGTACAACATCCCTGTGTCCTCCGCCTCCATCCCGGCCATCAAGAGCCTAGGCCTCAGGGCATCACCTGCATCAGCCTGACCCACCTGGATGGCTCGCCAGCTTTGCACCAGGTGCTGGAGTCTGTTGCCTACCACCTGGGCCCGAAACTGCAGAGCTTGTGCCTCAGTGGGGGCAGCCCCACGCAGGCCTCCTTTGTGGCCTTGATCCTGGGCTGCCTGGCCCTGCGTATCCTTGACCTCAGTGGCGGCGACAGCCTCTTCACAGGCGGCACGCTGCTAGCCCAGCCTGAGACGGCACAGCGGGTCCGGCAGGTGTTGCGTGGCCTCTGTGAGCTCAACTTGGCTGGCCTGCGGGACCTGACCGACCTCAGTTTCAACCGGCTCAGCAGCTGTGCCCCCAACCTGGAGCGCCTCTCCTTGGCCTACTGTCACCTCACTTTTGAACTAGGCCCAGCCCGGGGCTCCCTTGGCCCCCAAGACTCCTCCCCCTCCCAACTCTCCTTCCACAACCTGCTGCGATTTGTGAAGGAAAGGGCTGATAGGCTGCACGCCCTGGACCTGAGTGGCACTGGCTTGCTCCCCGAGGCCCTGAAGGCCCTGGGTCAGGTGGCCGGGCTGCAGCTGCAGGAGCTGAGCCTGCACGGCTGCCAGGACCTCTCCACAGAGGCTGTGGCCGCCCTTTGCCATCTGCAATCAGGCCTGACCTCCCTGGACCTCAGCGGCTGCTCAGAACTGGCCGACGGGACACTCCTGGCCATCAGCCGGGACCTAGGGCACCTGCAGTGTCTCCGCCTGAGGAAGCTGCAATGGCTGATGGACGCAGGATGCACAGCCCTGGGGGGCTTGCGGGAGCTGCACAGCCTGGACCTGGCAGAGTGCTGCCTGGTGAGCGGGCGGGGCCTGGCCCAGGCCCTGGGTTCGGGGCACAGAGCTCCAGCCCCCTTGGCCTCCTTCAGCCTGGCCTACTGCTCCTCACTCAAGGTGAGCACACCATCCCCTTCCTTCCTCTCCAGGGCTGGGGCTGGGGGCGCTGCACCCATGGCGGCAGGGAGGCCCTGCCCGGTGTCGGTGTCCAAGGAACAGCAGGGAGAAGTGAACTGAGGACACAAGGGGAAAGGAGCCTGGAAATACAGTGCTCCTGCCGGCACTCCTCCCCTTGGCCCCTACTGTGGGCCCAGCTAGAGGGAGGCCCAAGAGACCAGACCGGCCCAGCCCACACCTCATATACCAAGTGCTCTGTGCCCCCCGGGTGGGCTGGGTAGGGGCACTAATGGCAGGTGTTCTGGAGGCAGGGAAGATGAGAGAGGGGGGTCTGCAGAGAATGGATACTGAGGCTACACAAGGAGGTTGCTCGACAGGGTCTGACAAAGGTAATGTGATGTGGGAGTCATGGTCATTTCTCGGCTGCAGCCAGTCCCTTCAATAGGGCTCAGCCCTGTCCCTCTGGGTGGTGTCCCTAACTTGGCAATGACAGTCTCTCCCTCTTTAGTGGGTTATTCCTTCAACCTCTCAATGTACCCCGGGCATTCCCAACCTGAAAACCGTCTCTCAGTCTCCTCCACAGTCGCTTTCCTTGCCCTGCTTCCCACTCCATGTTCCCAATAGCACAATGTCTCTCTTAGCTGCTCTCCCTGGGGTCCAGGGCCCGTGTTCTTGTGTCTCTCATAAACCTCTTTATAAACCAGCTTCCTCTACTCTGCCCTTAGCTCCTGCTCCTGGCAGGTGGCAGCCCTACCCCAATGGTGACCTCCCAGTTCTGCTTCAAATTCTAGAGGAAGCATACCTGATTGGCTCAGCTAGGGTCAGATGTCCACGGATGATCCAATAGGCTATGGTCAGAAGGCTGCCTCTGCCCACACCTTCAGCAGGGTCTGGGAGCACTAGCAGGACAGATACTTTAGAAACTTGCACCTGCATCCTTCCTGCCGCAGTCAATCTAGGCCTTAGTCCCCCAGCAAACTCCTGGTGTCCCACCCCTACCTTTTACCAGCACAGGGACATTGTTGCTTCCCTCCGTGGACCATCTGGTGGCTCCCTCCTGTCACCTGTGGGGCTGGAACCTTGGCAGAACCTTCCTGGGGACCCCTGCACAAGCCACCTGCCCATTGCTCTCTCCCTTCTCCACTTCCCTCCTAGGATGCCTCAGTGTTTTCCCTGATCCCAGTGCTGGGCCTGAGCCTCAGGGTGCTAGACTTATCCTCCTGTGTGGCCCTCACCAACAGGACCCTGCAGGCCATCTGCACCTACCTCACTCACCTCTCAGTCCTGTGTATGGCCTGGTGCAAGGAACTCCAAGACTGGGGGCTTCTGGGGCTGGGGGAACCAAGTGAGGAGGCAACGCACGAGCCCCAGGTGCAGGTCATGGAAGGGGGGAGGGTGGTCCCTGGGATCAGCCGCCCTCCTGCCCCTAAGTGTCTCTCTCTAGGAATATTTGAGGGCCAAACTCAGGAGGAACCTGAGAAGCAGGAGCTTCTTCCCACAGCTACATCAAGAGCTGGAGCATCAGGCCTCGGGCCCCAAGGACCCTTCTCCCCATCCACAGGGCCCTTCCCTGCTCATGCTGCGGGCCCTGCGGGAGTTGGAGCTCACAGCCTGCAGCAAACTGATGCCAGTTTGGCCAAGGTGTGGGGCCAGGGGTGTGGATAGGCTGAGGAGCCTGGCACCAGTGTCAGGCCCAGGCCAACCCGCTTTTTGCTTGGAAGACATTCCATGCCCTTTGGCTTCTGCTACTTACGGCCATTCCTCCAGCTGGGGGTGGGAGAGCCTGGAAGGGCCCTGGGCTCCAGCACCCTACCCCCCCACCGCAACTCCCCAGCCCGGTCCTTGCAGGTGCTCCAGTTCCCCGAGCTGAGGCAGCTGTCACTGAGCCTGTTGCCAGCACTCACAGACCAGGGCTCGGTGGCCGTGGCCAGGGGCTGCCCCAGCCTGGAGCGCTTGGTGCTGAGTCACTGCAGTGTCCTCAGTGACGAGGGCTGGGCCCAGGCTGCAGCACCTCAACCTGGCCAGCTGCGGGCAGCTCACCGAGCAGTGAGTTGTCCGATGATGCCACGGTCCGGGGGCTGGGCTGGGTCCCCATGCCGGCTGGCGCTCATCGGAGGCCTCCCACAGAACTCTGGATACCATCAGGCGGGCATGCAAGCAGCTCCGGATGTTAGATGTGGCCATATGCCCTCGTATCAGCATGGCTGCCGTCAGGCACTTCCAAGCCCAACTGCCCCAGGTGACCTGTGTCCAGTCCCGCTTCGTGGGAGGTGCTGACCTGACCGTAACACTCTAGGGCCAGGTCAGTAACCAACCCTGTGCCTCAGCGTCCGTCGTCCCCCCGCCCCCCGAGTCCCCAGCCCTGGCCTCTTGACCTGATTCGAGTCAGTGCCTTCTGCCCGCCTCTGCCACATACACCAAAGCCCCCTCCCCAAGCTATAAACCCCTTTTTCTCGGACGGCGGGTAGGGCTAATCTGGGGCAGCCAAGGGGGCTTCCTGCCCCAGTCTGCCCTAGAGCCCAGCAGGAGCCTTTTCCAGCCGTACGTCGCTGACCCAGGCCTCTGGAAATGCCGCCTCCTGCTCTCCTGGCCAGGCCTGGGTCCGGAGGCCAGGCCCACAGGTGGGGTGCATCTGGGGCCACGGAGGAGCAGACCACGTGCCTCTTGACCTGCCCACTTCTCCCACCTGAGGCCTGTGCCTCGCCTTATCCCCTATAAGGAGCTCTCCCGGCTCTTACTGGCACTGAGCTTCAGCAGCCAGGCCACAGACTTTGTTGTAAACCCAAACAAAATTAAAAATTCCAGATCTTACCTCCTTGTCTGAAGTTCTCAGACTAAAGGGCCCCCTCCTCCCCTCGACCTCAGTTGCAGCAGCCCAGCCTAGCCCAGGGACAATGTGGACAAAACACCAGAGGCACACAGACAATTTCTTCCTTACACCCGACCCAAAGCCCCACAGGTGCCCCCAGCAAGTCCTAACTTCCTCCCCAGTATGGTGGGAGACTAGAAGCCTGGAGGACTCTCCCTGCTTGAGCCTCCAAGCATGTCCTGCAGCAAAGACACGTGCCAGCCAGGCCCTAGGAGCACAATGATTAAGGATGCAATGAGGCTGTCTTCAGGGAGAAAAAAGAAAGAGGACAGTATCTCTGGGTAGGGTCATTAGAGGTCCCCTAGTCCAACCTCCTAAACAGTGCCAGTGACTTCTCAACAGCAGCTCTGAGAAACTATCTGTCCACTCTCTTTGTCCATCTGCCCATCAGTTCTAGGAGCAGCTAGCATGGCTGCCCAAGTGCCCCCCAGGCACTGCACTTTATGTGGGGTTCAGAGGTGCCGAAGATCTCCCAGCCCCCAGGTCAGGCAGGGAGGCAAATTAGCCGACAGACAGGGACAGTCCAGTGTGTGGGGTGTGCGTAAATAGAGAAACAAGCAGCTGGAACTGGGAGCCTAGGAGAGCAACGAACAGAGCCCAGAGAGATCAAGGAAAGACTCGAGGCCGTGAAAAAGGGGCAGAAGGGAAGAAAGAGGGCAATGAGAAAGGACCAGGGAGGTACACATGATAGGCCCGAGCTGGTGCTAGGAGGGCAGGGCGGGGCCCCTGGGCCGCAGGGAGGATGCTAGCTTGGATCAAGCACAGAGAACTCTGCAAGCCACAGGCCTTTTGTTAGACGTCCTAAACCACAACATGTCTCCTACCCATCTAGCTCTACCGCTCAGGCAAGTAACCGTGACCCTCATCCCACGGACAAGAGAGACACTGAAAAATGCAGGATGGGGGTAGTGTGCATGTGAGTGTGTAATCTGATCAGCTTCATGTTTGAAAAAGCACTTGGGGTATTAAGGACTGGAGGGGCAAGACAGGAGGCAGGAAGTCAGGAGATTCTTGCCAAGATGTTGGTGGCCTGGACAAGGGAATGGAGACACTGGGGAGGAAGAACTGATGGTATTAGAAGAGTTAACTGCATCTGGGATCCCTGCTCCTGATTGCCATCTTGAACTCAATAGCAAGTTGAACTTGAACTATTCCAAGGTGAGAAGCCTCTGGATACAGGGCCCCCTGGAGGCTCGAGTCAGAAGCAGATGCTCCCCCAGCACATTCTCCAAAGGAGATGCCATTTCATCAGTTTTCAAGGTAACATGTTGATGGTTAACACTGTTTAAAAAGGTATGTGCGAAGGTGTTGAGAAAGAGAAGTAGTGAGAGGCATGGAGGAGGTCAGAGAGGTGGCAGCTTTCAGCCTGCCCTGTGGGGCCTGTGGGTTCGTGTGCTAACCTCTGAAACTGACCTCCAGCTGGGCCCAGCACCCCTAGCCACTCCCGTCCCCAGAGGCCTTGCCTCTCTGTGGCCCCCACCACACCCATGCTCCAGCAGATTTGAATCAGAATGCCAGGCTTCCGGCACTGAATTCCCTCTTGTCAGCATCAGCCCTATCCTCCCAGCACCTGGGGACATGTTTGGAATCATAAGAGTTTGCCATTCAGCACAGAACAGACCCAGCTTCACATCTGTCCCTCCAGACCTCTCACCAGAGGGCCTCCAAGTCTTGAAAAGGACACCAGGCAGGGCCAAGCAGGACTGAGGACTGAGTTCAGACTGTCAGGAGCCTTCTGGAAACTAGGCCCCTGTTAATGTGGCCCAGGAAGGCATCCACTTAGGGCAGTATCTTCTGCCCCACGTCCCTCAGTGGGCTGCTACCCAGACCAGAGGACATCCCTCCCTGCAGGCCCAGCACCGAGGAAGGCTGAGGACTCATCCTGTGGAAGGACAATAGGGTCAGCTTGTCTCCAGCCCCTCCTTCACAACACCAGCCCCTCAACTGCGGCCGCCCAGGTTTGTGGCCCCAAGCAGTGACCTTGGCCTGATGCCCCATCTCATTTGCCAGCTAAATTTGAAGGCAGGCTTGGCCCACAGTTGCAGAACTGGCTCGACACACACCCCAGAGTCAAGCAGACTTTATTTCTGCGGCAGCCTCTGCTGGAGGGTGTCTGGGTTTTACCACCCTCCACCCTTCACGGTCACCAATGCCAGCAGCTGTGGCCCATGGCCAACCTCACTGTCAAGGCTCAGTGATGCTGCAGTCATAGCAGAAGTTGAAATTGGTGGGGGGCGGGGGGATGGGAGGCGGCTGCTCGGGAATGGGCACATTCTCCAGCTCCAACAACCGCAGCTTGGTCTCCATCGTCAGCAGCTGTTCCAGGTCCAGCCGAGTCTGCTCACTGCCCATGGGACCGCCGAGCAGGGCGCTCAGCCCATCTGTCCACAGGTGAAACTGGGGATGGGGCCAGCTCCGTGAGGGCCTGCCCATCTCTTCCCGAGCCTGTCTGCCCCACTTGGCTCAGCCTGGCCCAGACACTCACCTCCCGTTTGGATGGGGCGATGAAGTTGAGGTATGCCTCCGCCTCCCCGTGGTCATAGCTGATGGAGAAGGCTAACTCATAGAGATCCTGGGGGAGGCAGGCAGCGGAGAGTGCTGAGTGGGGAACAGAGCAGGGCAGATGCAGGTGGGAAGGAGCCCCTGGCCTCCACTGCACTCACCTTGTTCTGCTTCCCTGAGCCCTTCTCCCGGACGTGGGGGCAGTCTTTGCCTGTGAGCAGTGCCTTGATATCGGCCACAGCGACTGTGGGAAGAAGGCCGGGCTGACCACTGGGACCCAGGGGGGCCCCGCACAGGGGGTGGTCTCGGGAGGGCAGGTGGCTGACCCGGACCCCTGTCCCGTCCTCCTCACGCTGCTCAGGCAGGCTCTCCACGGTGGGTGGGCTGGCGCTCTCCTCCACGTCCCCGTACTGCAGCACCTTGTGGTTGGGGGACAGGCAGCAGAACCACAGCTTGTCTGTGAGCAAAAAGAGAAGAGGGAAGGATGACGCGAGGGGCCCTGATCCCAACCCAGCCGCTCTCTGCCAACCCCTGCCCATTCAACCACCCTGGCGCCTCCGGCTGCTGATTTTGCGGAAGAGTGTCCCCTCGCAGAGGCGGAGCAAACGCTGCTGGCGGATGAGGCCCATGAGCTCTGGCTTCAGCTTCTCCCGTAGCTCCCTGGGTTGGGGGGCGGAGGGGGCAAGGGGAAGGCTTGCTGACTGGGACTGACCTGGGGCAAGGCCCGTGGGGGCAGGTGGGGCCAGGACTGGGACCCACTCCCAGCAACTCACAGTATGGGAGGGGCCAGCGTGCCCTCCTGATGCAGCCGCTCTGTCTGCCTCAGCCGCAGCACCTCCCCATAGGGAAGCGCATTCACCTTGGTTCGGAAAAGCTCCAGGGAGCTGGGCTTCAGGGCCAGCGTACGGGCCAGCTGCTCCCGCACCACCTGCATGACCTGGAGCCACCCAGTTCTGCTCAGGGCTGCGCTCGGGGCCCCTACTCAGAACGGCCCCTGCCCTGGCCCGGGTCTCCTCCCTTCCACCCCAGCCACCTTGTCAAAGTCCTCCTGGGTGGCTCGCATCTCCTTCCAGGTCTTATTCAGCAGCTGGATGCTCACACAGAAGAGCTCATGGAAACTCTGGTCTTGGCCGAAAAACATGGGCGAAAAGTCCTGGGCTGTTTCGGAGCCTGGAGCAGGGGGGCAGGAGGGGCTCAGGGAGAAGGCGTGCGCAGCCCCTGGCCCTCTCTGCCCTTCGGCCCCCGCTCCCAGCCGCGCCGCGCCCAGGCCCGCTCACAGGGCTCCCCGACGCGGAGCAGCTCGCACAGCAGCACGGTCAGCTGGATGCTGCTCTGGGCAAAGGGGCACTCGTGCTTGTCCTCACGGCTGCTGTTCTCCAACACCAGCTGGGGCGGCAGAAAGAGTGAATGCGACGGGGAGCTCAGCTAAGGCCACGGGGACCCAGCCATATCCCACCCACCCGATTACTGACCCGGCTATAGGCACTAGGTGCGTGTCTGGAGAAGTAGAGCATGTTGTCCAGGGCCAGCAGGCCAGGGGGCACGCGCTCTAGATCCTGTGCAGGGTTGCTATTCTGGGGGAAGCGAGACGGGCAGCTCAGTAAGGGCCCCAGGCCTCCGGAACAACAGCAGCCCTGGGTTGAGGCAGGGGTGGGGGGCTAGGGAGGGGTCGCTCACAGAGAAGCCCAGTTTTCGGAACTCGCGGGCACACAAGGAACGGCGGCGGTCGGCACTCAGCCCAGTGCCCAGAGACTCCCCCTCCGACTCAAAGGCAGCCTGGCGCAGGGCCTGCAGCTGCTCCCGCTGTTCCTGGGGGCGGGGGGATGGGAGGTACCCCACGTTGTCGTGGGGTAAGCGGGCGTCAGGATCATAGACTCAAAGCCACGCTCTAGCTTCCCCAGCCTCGTGTTCCCCAAAGGCACCCACCTGGCTGTAGGGGTCCAGTGGCGTCCTCATGCGTGGCTCCAGCAGCCCCAACATAAGGGCCTGCAGTACATACAAATGGTGAGCCATCTCGTCGCCCAATGGTGTTGCACTGTGGATGATGTTCTGGAGAACAGCCAGTCCATAGGTGTGAGCAGAGGCTTACTGGGGGAGGAAAAGCGGGGAGGGGTCTACCTAGCCCAGTCCTTCCTACCTTATAGATGAACTGGCGAAGGTTTCTCTGCCACAGGTAGCCAAGCATGTGCTGAGGTAAGTGGGAAGGGGGCTTAGATGATTCAGCCCCACCACGAGCAGCCCTCCTGCAGTCCCGGGTTGGCGCGCAGTGCCCACCAGCTCCTGCGCAGGCTCCAGCCCCCCACCCCCCACCCCTGCAGTCCAGCCACCAGATGGGACACTCACCTTGCGTTCAGCAGGGTTGGCCCCCTGGAGCAAGGCTGTCAGCAATGCCATAGCCTTGGTTTGTAGCTGCTGGTTCATCCTGGGGCAAGAAGAGGCGGGCTCAGCGGGCTATCCAGGGTCTGGCTCCATGCCCCTCACCTGTATTCCACCCCCACGCCCAGACACTTACACCTGTAGGTGGACCAGCAGCCTATCCAGTGGTACCTCACTCTTGACCAGCTGGCCCAGAGCAGGGCTGCTCAAGGTCACACTCTCTAGCAGCCTGAGGGCCAGGGGCTGCACAGATGCATCCATCAGGTTCATGTTCACGTAGCACACCACCTGTAACAGGGGTAGGGGCTTGCTACCACTTCACCACCATGGAAGGCCAGATCCTGACACCACTCCACTGCCCCCACCTGCTGCCCCTAGAAAAGCCAACCCACCTTCCTAACAAAGGGGATGCTGAGCGTCTCCCAGGACACCATGCCGTGTTCCATGAGCTCCAAGAAGGCCCTCAGTGCAAGGGTCAGCACCTCCCCTAAGCTGGGGGGACATCTGGGGCTGAGCAGGGCCAGACTAGGACCCCTAGCCCCACCATGTCCACCACAAACCGCAGTCCTGTGCTCACTCATCCCCATCCTCAATGATGGTGCCTAGTCTCTGAAGCCCATCACGGCTGATGACCTCCTGGGCAAAGGTGACGTCCGGGGTCAGCAAGACGAGGTGCTGCAGAGCTTCCCGGCGCCTTTCACGACTCCCACTCTGCAGCCCACCTAACAGCCGCTCAGCCTCAAGGTCCTGGGCAGGGGTGGGAAAGGTGAGGAGGCTGGGTGGAAGTAAGGAGCAGGAACTGGAGGTGTAGGGACTCAGATGTCCACTAGGTGGGGCACTGCGGAGCTGGGGCCGGGGCCCTCCCGAACTGGGCAGAGAAGAGGGTGGGCGGCAAAGAGGCATAGAAGAAGGGCAGGGAATGCGGGTGGGGTCAGGAAGGGCATTACTGGGGCAGTGCTGAGGCACAGGATGCTGCCATTCTTGATCTCTGTGCGGTTCTGGAGAAGATGGAGAGAAAGGGGGAGAAGTCAAGAAGGGCTCTGAGAAAAAAAAAAAAAAAAAAAGAAGGGCTCTGAGGATTGGTTAATCCGGGTTGCTGGTGAGGGAGGGTTCGGGAGTCCGGAAAAGAAAGATCACATTCCAGACAGGGGGATGAGTCTGAGGGATCAAGATCAGGTGGGTTAGAAGTGGCGGGTGTCGCACAGTGGGATATGGGCCTGGCGGGGGTGGGGGCGGGGGAGACTCACGTTCTCAGTGATGTAGCTCCTATGTCCATCAGCAAACTGCAGGGCGTAGCGTTCCGAGTGAACCAAACTCCACCTGCGAGGAGCGGAGGCTCAGTGAGGCCGGTAGAGGGCGCCCCTCCCTCCTGCCCTCCCCACCCCCCCCCCGGCACCCCCCGGCCTGGCTAGCCTGCACTCACGCGTCGCACACCTCCTTCAGCACAGCGGCCAGAGGCTTTGCCTGCAAGTGGACAGGTCACTCATGGGGCGGGTGTGGGGAGGAGTTGGGGAGGACCCTGGGGGTTCCGAGGGGAAGGGGGCCACCCGGAGGGGGGTGGTGGGGTGAATGGAGGCCAGACAGGGCGAGTGACCTGGTCCAGCTGGATGAGCTGCGGGATGGCGTCAGGCATCTGGACCGCGATCTTCACCACGTTCCGCGGGGGCGCCATGGTCCAGCCAGGGCAGGGGCGCCTGTAGTTTCCAGACCGTCTAAGCTCCGGCCAAGGGCGCGCCTGGTCTGGTACCTCCGAGAACGAGGACGTCCCTCTGTTCAAGGCCTGGACCCCGTGGCCCGCACTCAGGGGTTAGGGTCCCGCTCCTGGCCAGGGGCCGCGGCCTTCCCAAGGGAGCCGAGACTAGTTCCGGGTTGGAGTCCCGTGGGTAGGCGCCTGCCCTGCCCCGCCCCACCCCGGCGGCCCGCCCTAGGTGCGCCAGGTGGGGGCGGGGGGGCGGGGCGGGCGGGACGCCAGAGCAGCCACACCTCCCTTTCCAAGAAAGGTAACCCGCCCGGTCCCACCACCAATCCAGCCGAATTCCAGGGAGGGGCCCTGAAAGAACCAGATCAGAGATAGCCTTAGGCATGGTCTTTATTCACTTGGATACTGTACAAATATTACAATTTCCTTTTGCTGCAAAAAGTATAAAAATAATCTTTATATAGGAATCCGTTCGTTACTGCAAATCTTTCTAAATCTCTGCAAATGGCTCTAAATGAGGGCAAATGAATAAACAAGGGGGGGGGGCTACAGGGCAGCAGGAGATTGGGCCAATCCTCAGGGGCTCACCCGTCCAGATTTCTAGCTAAAGACCTCTCTGTTCCTTCCTGTTAGCAGCCCCCCACCCCACCCCCCACCCCACCTATAGGTACTCTGGGCTAAGGGCCCAGCAGATGGGGGGTACAGGGGAGAGGCCCAGGGGGAGCTGCAGGGTCAGGGGTGGGGAGAAGTGAAGGAGGCTAGGGGTGGTGCTGGCAAGCGTCTGGCTCCACCCTAGGCTTCCCTCCTCAGAGTGGGAGGCATTGGCTGCAACAGGGCAGTGGGGCTGGACAAGCTGCCCTATGCAGATGATGGCAGGTCTTCAGTTCTGTGCCACTGAGTGGCAGCCGAGCCTGGGCTCTGAGAGGGCATGAGGTGGGGGAAAGCCCCAGAAAAGGAGAGGCAAACACTCTGGCTCTATGGTGAAGGGGTCTGAGCCCCTTTCCCCTGCTTTCCTAGCACGGTACAGGTGCTCGTGCAGGAGTGGGAGTCGTGGTCAGAACTGCAGTGAGGGAAGGCTGGGGAAGCCAGGAGTCTGTGGCTCTCAAGCTGTGTAGGGGTAGAGTGGGGGAGGTCCTCAGGCAGCCCCCAGGTCACACAGTCTGTGTCCCAGCCACACAGGGAATGTCCCTGTCAGTCAGAGGTTGAGAACAGGCACATCGAAGAGGTCACAGACACCTTCACTCTCGTCCAGGTTGTAGATGTAATCGTGGTCTCCAGGGGGTGGAGAAAGGCGGAGGAGGGGGGCAAACACTGCAGAGAGCACCAGGCTGAGGCTCTGGGCCAAGGCCGCCCCCCCAGCAGTTGCCCAACCCCCTTGCCCACCCCCACCTTCCTGGGCTACCCACCTTCTGAGGACATCAGCTCCTCCAGCAGCTCTGAGCTCATGCATTCTGGGGAGGGAGGGAGAGCTCAGTTACATTTGGCTCCTGGCTCTCCACCCACCAAAGCCCATGAAGGGGACCCCCCTAGCTACCCATCAGGAACTTTACTCTTTGCCCAGGTACCAAGCACAATCATAGGTCCTCAGAAGTGCGAGAAAACAACTGTAAGACCCAATGAGCTATGCCCTTACCCCATGGAAGAATGCAGACCTACCTCGTGTGGGATCAAAGATTTCTGACAGCTCTCTGGGGAGTTCCAGAACTGAAAGACAAGAAAGCCATACTCAAGGGCACAGAGATCCAGTCTGGTCCCACTCTAGCCTCCACCTTCCTCAGATGTTATACCACCTGTCTTGGGGCTCCACACAGCTGAGGAGATGGAGGCCCTGCCCGAGGCCAAGCTGGCATTGTCAGTCTCCCCTGCTAGATGTGAGTTCCTTAGTGCTGACCCCAGGGTACGAAAGGCCCATCGAAGATGACTGATACAGCCCTTCTAACTCAGAAGTTAGAGGGCAGCAGACCCTTCCCTTGATGGGCTCAGTAGGTATGCCCTGTCTGATGGCAGATGCCCACTCACACCTGCCCTCGTTGAGCACCTGCTCAATGCCAGGCTCAAAGGCCACACCCTGGACCAGGGCACTTGGCAGAGGAGGAGGCAGACACTTAATAGGGGCGGTGCTATGGGGTGACAAGTCTGCTACAAACGTCTGACTGGGAGGAGACACATGGGAAGCAGAGGAAAATGAAACTGGAGAGGAGTGCTGGCGCACAAGGATCTCATATACCAGGTGAAGGGCCTGTGGTTTCATCCAGCAGGCCTTAAGAAGCGTTAAAGGTACTTTGCAAACACAGAAATGCCACACTCAACCTGTGTTGCAGACAGATCCCTATCAGTCAGGGTAAAGAGGAGGATGCTGAAGAATTTAGGGTAGAGGTAGCCAGCAGTGACCCTGAGTGTTGAGGATACATGAAGCCAGTGATGGGACATGTCTGAGACAAAACTCAGTTAATTACTGCCAGGTGGAGAGCAGGAGAAGCGAGGAGATGGAAGTGGAGAGACATGCGGGTGTCAGGCCTGAGGGACCAGGGCCAATAGGAGGGTACACACAGAGATAGAAAAGCAAGCTTCGGTTAATGACACAGGAATGAAGTGCCCATCAGATGTGCAGAGGAAAGCACACGGACACAGGTGTGGAGTTCAGACAAAGACCTAGGCAAGCCAGAGGCTAGGGATTCATCTACCCCGAATGGGTGCCCTCCACAGGTGTGCAACAGAGACCTGCGAAGCACAGTGTTTATAAAGGCATGCAAGGGAGAGAACAGAAGAAGCCGGTGAGAGAAGAGCCAAAGTTGGCATCATAAATGCCAAAGGAGCTAGAAAGCAACACCATGGAGCAAGAGAGCACCAGAGCGAATCCCCCAGAAACCTGCTGGAGGCAGCAGTCAGGGCGAGGCAATGTCTCCAGAGCAGCAGCAGAGTCCCGGGGGGTGGGGGTACAAGGGTCCTGGATGCTGGAGGGGGACGAGGAGACCAAGACACGGAATGGAACAGAGATGACCTGCCCAAGGAGCCCAAACAGAAACGACACAGTGAACGTGAGAGAGGGAACACAGAGGACAAAGGGTCACTTGGTGAGAAGAGACTGAGCAGTGCTTGTGGGCCAAGGAGAACGAGTCCTGGAAGACGCAAACACCCAAATCACAGGTTGGGAAGAAGACTCCAGGCAGATGATGTCACCTCCCCTGGGAAGGCACTGCCCCCACCTTTGGAGCCCGAGGGCCTTTACCACAGCCCCCTCCCCAGGATGGCAGTTATGCCTTCCTGATCCCTGAGTGCAAGGGGGGGCAGGCAAGGCTTGAGAGGGGCCCAGGAGTTGTGGGTAGCTCGGGAAGGGGAGCAAAGGGGCACCAGTGCTGAGCTGGCAGCCAGGCTCCTCACTCAGGCTGGCAGAGCTCTGGGGTCAAGGCAAGGGTTGCTGGGGGCCGGGGGGCGGGCTGGCCAGCTCTGGCCGAGGAGACAGGCGAGCTGGCTTCCAGCTCCAGGTGTTTCTGCCCTAGCAGTGGCTGCGGCTGGGTTCTGCCTGTCCCTCAGGGGCCACGCACTCACCTCCTGTGGGGTCTGCCTTGATGGGCTCAAAGGAGGTAGAAGGGTTGGGTCCGGATGGGCCGCTACTGCCGTCCAGCAGGGCGGAGGACTGCAGCGGCCGGGTGTCCAGGGCTGCCAGGCCTGGGGGCAGGGAGCTGAGCTCCCCACCGTCCTTGCTGTCCGGTCCAGGGCCACCGCTCACTGCAACCAGATCCCCCAAACCCAGTCACTTGGGAGCAGGAAGGAGAATACCGAAGCTTTGTGCTAGAAGCCACAGTCGGGATGACAAGAGCCCCAGTTCCCAAGGAGAGAGAGGCACTGCCAGTCCCCCACGCAGAGGGAACCTAGAAACGAGCCCCTGAACAGAGGCATGAGGCCTGCAGGAGGGAGACTCCAGGATGACATGGCTGCTGTGCCAGGCTTCAAGAGGGGCTGCCAGAGGAAGAGAGACACAGGTGGACCCGGCGAAAACCATCCCCACTAATACCCCTTCATACATTCAGAGCTTCCCTGTTAAAAAGGGCTCATTCACGACCATAGCAAGGGGAGGCCAGCTGGAGACCAGGAAAAGGACAACCCCCACAAGGTCTCTTCCAACACTGAGTACAGAGGTGCTGTCTTTTGGGCCCCAGAAGTCACCCCATCACCAGCTGCCTGTTACACCTCACCTGTGATCTCAGCTGCTGGACCGGGCACCCCCTGGGCTTCGGTGATGCCAGGGACAGGGGCGGGGGTGGTCAGCTGGGGACTGCTTGGGCGTGAGGCGTCCTGGGGCTGGGCCAGGGTAGGCTTGGGCAGAGGCGGAGGGGTAGAGACGGCAGGAGGGCTCTGGAGCAGATCTTCCGGTGGCGGCACAGGCACTGCCACAGGTGGGGAGCTCCACGCCTCCTTGTTCACCAGCAGCACCTCGATGGGGCCACTCACACTCTTCAGGTGAATCTGGTACTTCTTCTGTCCATTGAGGCCCTGGAGGTGGGGGATGGGGGACAGGTGGAATTAGAAGCAGCCTTGGCTCCTGCCTGACCCTGGGCCAGGGCTGCAGTGTCCTCTCCCACCCTAGGCTGCCCGTTCTTCTAGATAACCCCCAAACCCAGGCCTCCCCCTACCTGCCCCACCCGGGACTTATCGGGCTCCACAGCCAGCACCCGCCCGCAATCAACTCCGCCTGCCTGGGCTGAGCACCCACCTCTGGGATGGGCACCTCGAGGCTGGTGCCCGACGGGGCCCGGATGGCCAGAAGGGTATCTCCTAAAATGACAAGGATGGGTCAGGGCCCATGGGCTCAATCTAATCTGAGAATGGGGATGCCTATCCCTTTGAGCAAGGAAGGAAATCATGGTGTCTTAGGACAGTAAACCTCACCCAACCCCCCACTGGCTGGGGCAGAAAACTAAAGCTTTTCTCCTCCTAAGAGCCCAAGGGTCAGTAACCAGAAAATCTGGGTTCAAACATGTGGACTGAGGGATTGCTGGGCAATCTCACTTCTTGATTGATGGGGTTGCTCCCTAGGAGTAGATGTTCAGGCCAAGGCCAATTTTCCTTCCCCAAACCAGTCTAGAGAATGCAAAACGGAGAAGGAACAGTTCCTGTATCTATAACGCAACTAACTACAGGTTGCAAGTGAGCACCATCGTTCTCTGGATACAAGCATGCAAGAGCGTACACACATGCTCTATCCCCCTTATGCCTCTGTCATGCCTGAGAAGCCAAACCCAGGAAACACTGCAGATGGGGACTGACCCAGGGACCCAGCCCAGAATTCTTGTACCCTTTCAGTATGATTTGCCTCCATGGGGTCCCAATGACCCTCAAACCCAGGACTTACCCTGCCTGGTTCCTCTTTGGGCAAGCCAAAGGAACCCTCTTAAGAGACAAAACTCTCCTTGGGCACTGAGCCCACTGCTCAGGGCTGTGGCTCAGTCTAGCCCCACCCCCACTGCCCCCTACCCAGGCTCTGCTCACCAGCAAAGCATCTGCAGATGTCCTCATGAGTCACGTAGGCCAAGGTGTGGGGGTTAAGGAGAACGGCTGATGCCCTGCCTATGGTGACAGATGGCAGACCACAAAGAAAACCCAGCTCTTTAGCAGAGATCTGACGTACAAGCTCTCAGAGAAAATCCTGGGGCCTGGGGTCTACATGGAGAAGGATCACAGGCCAAGAATGGTTGGGGAAGGGGCTTTGAGTCTAAGGAGGGAGGCCAAGGCAGGGACCTGGCCAGGAGCTGCAGGATCATCCTCCCGAGCAGGATAGTGTCTAGGGTACCACAGAGCAAACCCAGCTGGACTAGAGGGCCCCTCTCGCCCACTCCCCGGGAGCAGGGACCGCCAGGAGGATATCAGCTGTTCTGCACGTCCTCTGTGACATTCCGGATGCTCTGCTGCACCCACACCTTGTGCTTGTCCAGTTCTTGCTCCCGCTGCTGCAGCAACTCGATCTCAGCCTTGAGCTCAATCAGCTTGTCCGCAATCTCCCGGGTATTGCAGCCAGGCCCCACACCCCTGTGCCCAGGGAGGGAGGCTGAGAGGAGCTACCAGGAACTCTGGGTCCCATGGCCCCTGCTCTCTCCTGTGTCCTCCTCCCCACGCCCCTGACACTTCTGGGTAAGAGATGCCACTGCCCTCCCAGGTGCCCCCACTCACTTCCACTGGATGCTATTCTTGGATTTTTTCTCGATCAGCCCGATACCTTCCAGCACGTTGGTAATGTCGTAAATCCGCCGCTTCTGACGCACAGCAAGGGTGTCAGCTGCCTGGCAGACAGAACAGAGCACAGGATACTCAGCCCCACTCTCAGGTGTCCCCCCAGCTACCTTGAAATCTGGTCTGGAAGTGATCTGAAAAAGGGGTGGCCTGAGTCCCAGCCCTCCTCCCAGGCGCCATAGATCAGGACCGCGGGGCAGGAAGAGGTCTGGCACAGTCTGAACTGATGTTCTGATGCCTTCCCACACCAGCCGAGGAGGGCCACGAGGACCAGCACCTGCAGCCCAGAGCCTAGCACATAGCTGACGCCCAATGGCCTCGGCCGAATGAATGAAACAGTTCCCGGCCTCCCTCCTGTGAGAAAGCACACCGATGGCGGCTTGCTCCCTGAGGGCCCAGCTGGACGGCCCCAGGGGTTCCCACTACCGGCCCAGGCCTGCCTGGTCCACCATCCTCCCGGTCGCCTCTTAGCCCAGGCCGCACCAGCTTGAGGTCAAGCACGCCGTCCTTGGCCTCCTGCAGAAGCGACACGAACTTGGTGGTGAGAAGTCCCAAGCTCTTCTCGTGCCGGCTTGGGGTGCCCGGGGGCGGCGGCGCCTGTGGCCCGGCCTCCGCCATCGCTCCTGCCCGCCGCCTCCCCTCAGCCAGGCCAGGCCAGGCCGGCGCCGCCGCCACTTCCGCTTCCGTTCCTGGCCACCCGGCCGCCGGCGCCAGCGTCGCTGTTTCCGCTTCCGCTCCGCGCCCTCCCAGGGAACCCGGCGCAATTCCTCTCTGCGGACACGGCAGCAAAACTTCGGGGACCATCAGCAAATGTCCAACCGCCGAAGAGGACGAAAACAATCCGTGGATCCCGGGAGACAGGGCAGGGTGCAGGGAGAGGTGGAGGAAGTCGGTGGGCAGCCCCGGCAGTAGAGAGGGGAGAGCCACCAGAACCTTCTTGGCTGGCCAACCTGTCCCCATTTCAGAAGAGGAGACCACGCTGCCTGATGAACCCAATGTGTTTCCCCAAACCTGCTCCTAGAAGCTGTCCCAGTGTCTTGGGTTTACTGACCCTATTCCTGTCCCTCACTTCCTGTCAAACAGCAAGCACTAACTACATCGAGCTTGCCCACTTGTCTCCATTCCCATTCCCCTTCCCTGATCCCAGCCTCATCTTTCTCTTGTCTCAACACTGCAGTGCTCAGAGACCAGGGAGTCATAACAATTTTCCCACCAAGGCAAACATGCTTACCTAGGTGTACATATATGTAAAGGACTGAGAGCAGTTCCTGGAAGGTAGGAAGGATTATGTGTTGGCTAGTACCACGTTGTTATGTTTGATACCATCATTATTTATTATAATTTATTTTAGGTCAAGATCTCTGGGAGGCCGACTTTGAGACAGGGATCTGCCTACAGGGAAGTTTAATGAGGATCCATCCTTGTAAGGGAGTAAGACATGCAAAATTGGGCAGAAGGGGGAATTAAACTGTGATGCAGTTATAATAGAGGCCTCAGACCATCCACTGAAACTGGGGTGGGCCTTCCAAGGTGGTCCATGTTCAGGCAAGTTTACCAGGCCTTTGTGCCCTAACTGTGAGGGAGAGACTCAGCTGTGACACCTCAGCAACCTACACTCCTGACAGCTAGGGGAACAAGTGGTGTTGTCCTGAAGGGTGGATTTGGGTGGTAACCAGCGTCCACTATATTATTACTACCCGGTGGTCCTCTCCATGGCCCCCTTACCTCTCAAGACAAACACAGCTTTCCTAGCCCTTCTACCCCTCTCTCACCATCACCCACCACACACCTTCCTCACAATACCTGTGGCCTCTCACTTCTCTGCAGAGGTTCATTACCCTCCTCTGAGGAGCCATCAACACAGTTTTCCTACTGTGATGTTGTCTACACCCATATTTGCACACCGTTCTCCATCCCAAGTTGGGGCCGTCTAGTTCACGCCTGTGTCCTGAGCACGAAGAGGTCCTGGATGGGCTGGGCAGGACTCAGGGATTACAGGGAGTACACCCCCTCCCCCCAAGGAAGCTGCGCCCAGCCCTCCCCACCCCATCCCACATTGCAGATGCACTTTCCTGTTGGGAATAAAAGGCCAGAGACTCAGCTTCCTTCCTTTCTGGGCATTTGGCCTTGGATGGAGGAGGGTGCTCCTGGGCCGGGAGGTGGTACAGAGGCTTCCTTGGGGAGAAGAATTCTGCTACATGCTGAGGTGTGGGCTGGAACCACCCAGGCCTCGTGAGCCAGTGAAGAGAATACCCAGCTCTGCCCAGAAGACTGGGGGAGAGGGCCATCCTCAAGGCCAAGACTATTTTCAAAGGAGAAAGAACTGGATGCTTGGTCAAGCCTGGTGAGTTCTGTACCAAACTGTCCTCTGCAATTCGGAGCAGGAGCTGGGGCCAGCAGAGGTCTGTGCCTACCCTGCCTCACTTAGTGTCTGCAGGGGCAAAACTGAGAAACCCAGTCTCCCCATCATTTCCTGAGGGGGCTGGACAAGAACCCCCCTCCTCCTTCTCAGAGGGGCCTAGCCTGAGGCTACTGCTCACAGGAGCACCCCCACTCCTACCTCATCTCCAGCTCCTCGAGGGACTGCCATGGACTCAGCAACCAAGGACGAAATGCAGCCCTCACTTCCCCCTGGTATGAGCCCTCTGGGTGGGCTGAGGGAGGGATGGTGGCAAGAAAGATGGGAATGGTGGGGTTGGATCCTCCTTGCCAGGGCTGGCCGGAGCTCTATAGGGCAGCAAGAGGAATGGATCGGACTGCCCTAGGGGACAGGCTGAGAAGTAGGAAGGGGAGCAGGTTCGGGCCACTTCCTGTAGGCCCTGCCCAACTGACGAGGCTGCCCAGGCTCTTCCTGCCCAGGGCCTGAGTGGCCAGAGCAGGAGAGGGCGGAGCGGCTGGCCCGAGGAGCAGCACTCAAATGGGCCTCGGGGATCTTCTACCGGCCGGAGCAGCTGGCCAGACTGGGCCAGTACCGCAGCCGTGAGGTTCAGCGTACCTGTTCGCTGGAAGCGCGCATCAAGGTGGGCAACAGTCAGGGGAAAGGAGTGCTGGGGACAGGCTGTAGGACTGGCCAGGCCTCACTGGCTACCTCCCTCCCACAGTCGGTGGTGCAGTCCTACCTGGAGGGCGTGAAGACAGGTGTGTGGCAGCTGGCCCAGGCTTCTGAGGCTGTGCGGGGCGCCCGTGAGGCCCTGGGCCAGGCCCACGGGTTGCTTCAGGGTGCGGCAGAGGCCACGCAGACCCTCAGGCCACTGCGGGAGCAGGTGGTGCAGCACAAGCAGCTGCAGGTCCTGTCTCAGCTGCTGCCCCGGCTCTGGGCAGGTGAGTGTGCGGGGGCCCTGGGCCTCAGCCCCCCAACCGTTATTCAATAAACACCCATCACTGACTGAGGGGCTGGGGCACTCGTGGGAGATTGCATGGAGGGACACACCAGGGACCTTCCAGAGAGTAATTCAGGCTTCGAATGGCGTCTGAAGCAGGATACAAATTGGCTCATTCTGGGATTCTCAAGTATGAGTTGTGTGGATCAGGACTGAGACTCAGCCAAGTGGCTCTGACCGCCCTGGTTGCTAACTTATTGAAGTATTAAATAGCCACTAGCATGGCCCCGCGAATTCCACACTGCCTTGCCTCCAGGATCCCTGGCTTCCTCTTGTTCCATCAGCTCAAAAATTTACACCTGGCCCGCCGGGTCTCTAGGCCCTTCCCTGGGTCCTTTCAGATTAGTCAGTGCTCTGCTGTACTCGTTACTGAACACTTGACACCTCACTGCAGCCCTAGGGCCTCAGCACCCACCGCTGCACCCGTTGTATGGGGGGAGGTTTGAGACTCAGGGCTGTTTCCTCTCCTCCCTGTTTAGTGCCAGCCGCAGTGGCCCACGCGCGGAGCCTGATTGATGCCAGGCAGCTCTTGGAGGCCTATGTGTGCCTTCGGGAGCTGGAGCAGCTGCAAGAGGAGACGTGGGCACCTCTGGGGGGCCTGGAGTTGGCAGTCTTCGAGGGGCTGGGCCCCCTGGCTGAGGCTCTGGGCCAGGCGGTGGAGGCGGCTGCAGGGGCCGCAGGGCGGCTGGCGCGGGAGGACCCAGCCCAGCTGGTGGCTGCCGTGCGTGTGGCGGAGGTGGATGCTGGGTACACAGCCTCCCTGGAGCTGGCCCCCAGGGGCTGGCGGCAGCGCTGTCTGCAGGCATTACAGGAGGGCCTGGACAGGACCCACTTTGGGACACCTCTCCTGCCTGAGCCGGGGGCCCTGGCAGGGTGGCTGGAGGCTCTGCGGGTGGCTTTACCGGCCGAGCTGGCCATAGCTGAAGCACTAGTAGCACCCTGCTGCCCACCGCACTACAAGGTGGTCCAGCTGTGGGCCCACACCCTGCACAGTGGACTGCGCCGCTGCCTGCAGCAGCTCCTGGGAGGGCCTGAGCTAGGAGCTGCTGATGCCTTCACCCTGCTGCACTGGGCACTGCATGTGTACCTGGGGTCAGTACCCTTGGGGCATCAGGAAGTGGGTGGATCAGAGGCTGGGGGCTCAGAGTGACACTGGGCTACCCATCTGCAGGCCAGAAATGATGGGGAGCCTAGAGTTGGGGCCTGAGGCTGACGTGTCTCAGCTGGAGCCCCTCTTGACCCCGGAGAACATTGAACAGCTGGAGGCAACATTTGTGGCCCAAATCCAGGTGAGTAGTTGGGGCCCAGGTACAGAGAAGCTCTGCCACCAGCTGTGGGCCTGTATCTGCAGAGTCGCATGTCGACCTGTCTCTAGCAATATCAGTGCTCTGCTACATCCTGCCCCCCTTTGCCCCTTCCTCCAGGCAAATGTGGCCCAGTGGCTGCAGAAGGCACTGGATGGGGAGGTAGCTGAGTGGAATCGAGAGCAGGAACCTGGCACAGACTCTTCTGGCTTCTACCACTCACCTATGCCGGCCATAGTGCTGCAGGTGGGTGGGAAGCCCCCAGAGGGAAAGGGGAGGAGAAAAGGACTAGGACTCTGCTGATGGCCACCCGTTGCTGCCTGCAGATCCTGGAAGAGAACATTCGCGTGAGCAGCCTGGTCAGCGAGTCACTGCAGCAGCGGGTGCAGGGCATGGCGCTCTCGGAACTGGGCACGTTCCTGAGGAGGTCTGCCAAGGCACTGACCCACGTCCAGCCCCTAGCCCTGCTCCTGGGGCAGCCCAAGGGGGCTCTGAGTGAATAAGGCACACCAGGGGGAAAGGGCTTCTTCAAAACAGGGTCTTGGGTTTCTTGGAGGTGGGGCTGGAGTACCAGGGACTCAAGTTGTGGGGGCGCCAGAGTGACAGGTACAGGAACTACCTCTGCCCTTTGCAGCTTTAGTGATGCTCTGATCCGATTCTCCCGAGACCACGCCAGGGGGGAAGCAATGGCTCCTCATTATGTGCCCTACCTACTGGCCACCCTCAACCACCAGTCAGCACTCAGGTACCAGAAGCCTCCCCCACAGAACCCCTGACTGAACCCCAATTAGGTATGGACCCAGTCCACACTAGGTCATCAGAAATTTTAGACTCACATGGCTCTGAGAGTCCAATCCTAGTTCTACTAATTGCTAACTGTGTGACCTTGGATGAGTTACCTAATCTTTCTGAATCTCGTTTTTCTTATCAGTATTATGTGTTGGTAATAATGGTACATTCTGAGAATCATATAACAGGTGTGAAGTACCTATCAGTGCTTGCCTGACAGTACCAATTATTCATTCATTCATTTATCCAACACATACTTATCAAGGCCCTACTCTGTGCCACGTAATGTCTGAGGTTACAGTTGTGAACAAAACAGAAAAAAATCCCCTTCCTCTTGGGTCTTATGTTCTTTGGGGTGGGGGCAGAGAGAACAAACAAGTTAATGTGTTTGAATCCCTCCTGGCTGGGATTAAACTCTTCCCTTACCCAAACAGAAACCAAAAGACATGATTTGCTCGAAGTCACACTGCGAACTAGAGGCAGGTCTGGTTGGGTTCCTTCTAGCTGTCTGAGCCCACCACTCCCATCCTCAGTCCAAGCCCCAGATCTACAGAAGTGCAGAGAGCCGCCATTCTTGCCCCCTCCCGCCACACACTTGCACCACTAGGTGGCGTCAGAGTGGCTAGACAACCGACGACCGCGAGGGCCTTGGCCTTGGTCCTGAAGCCTTAACTTTTGGTCCGTCCAGCTCCTCCGTGTCGGTCCTGCAGCCCGACGGGGCGGCTTCAGGAGCTTTGGCTCCGGTGGAGACAGCGCTGGACGAGTTGCAGAGGAGGATATGCCGCCTGGTGTTGGAGGCGCTGCTGGCGGAGCTCCAGGTAAGGCTTCAAGTAGGGATTGGGGTGAGGGGGAGGAGATATAGCATATATGGGTGTGCGTCTCTGCAGGGGGAATGCTAGTTCTGGATCGTTCCTTCAACCCCATTTCTGCCCCAACCCCCAGCCCCTGTTCGCGGCTCTGCCCTCACGCCGGTGGCTGTCGAGCCCAGAGCTGCTGGACGATGTGTGCGAGCGGACGGCGCGCTTCTGCCAGGATTTTAGGCGCGTGAGGAATCCTGCGGCCCAGGTGCGTTTAAGGGAAAGGCTGGGGAGTAGGGACGCCCCATGGGAAAGGCATGCTGAACCCACTGCGCTCTCCGCAGCTGCTCCTGGCCGAGGCGGAACGTACGGTAGTACTGCAATACCTGCGTGCGCTGATGCAGGGCCGCCTGGTGTGCCGAGGAGCCGACGAGAGGACCCAGGTGGCCGAGCGCCTGCAGCAAGACGCGGCCCAGCTTCGGGAACTTTTCCTTGGCTTGGTGAGAGTTCATTAGGCGAGCAGATGAGCGGGAATATCAGTGGTTGGGTGGAGGTCGAGGGCGAACGCGAGACCTACCCCGCGGTGCTCAGGGCCTGGAGGAGAGTGTTCAGTGCGCGCCAGTGCTCCTCGCTCTGCGGGATCTGCTGAACCTCCGCGACCCCATGCTGCTTGGCCTCGAGGTGGCAGGCCTGCGACAAAAATTTCCAGACGTGAGGTGCGAAGAGTGGTTCTGGTGTGGGGAGGGGGGAGAGGGAGGGGAGGATGGATTCGGGAAGAGCGGGGCGGAGCTGACACACAGCTCTCTGGTGTCCCCGTAGCGAGGATCACGTCTCTGCCCTCTTGGACCTGCGCGGGGACGTGTCGCGGGAGCAGCGCCTGGCCGCACTCAGCTCCTTGCAGGTGGGCCCACAGCCCTCGCCCTCTGCCGGTCGCCGCGCACTCTTCAGCCTCGTCCCAGCACCTGCTCCTGCGCTGTCCTCCTGCCTTCCCTCGGGGCCCTGTGCCTGACGCCCGGCTGCCCTCCGGATACAGGGACGGTCCCCGGACGCCTGAATTGTGTATTGGGGGAAGAGGGGATAAAATAAAAGTGCGATGATTAGGGGGTCCACGCTCAGTTAAACGCCTAAGGTATCCTGGCTCCAGTCCTCATATATGGGCTGCACCTCACCTATCCTGACATCAGCCCGGTATGGACTGCGTTCCCAAGTAACCGAGCTTCTGCCGCCATAGGTGGACTTCAGCCCCATCTATCCGCGTCAGGGCAGTGAGATTGTGTGTCGAGGCCCTGACTTTGAAGGCCGACTAGTACCTGAAGCGCTGAAACCCAACGGGTCCTCGTGGAGGGGGCGGGCTTAAGGTAACGCCGCGCCCAGGGGCGTGACTTTGTGGCGGACACCGCCCCCCTCTGCTCTGCCTGGCACCACCCAGAGCTGTGTTCTCGGGTGCTCGCCGCCGCCGAATTTGACGTGAATAGGCGCGCCTTCGCGTGAGCGTGCGCGCGCCCGAGTGCGTGCGTCACCGGCGATCGGCTCCCGCGGGCTGGGCGGCTGGCGACTGGTGTTGCGGAGCGGGAACGGCGGTGGCGAGAAGAGGAGCGAACAGGTGGGGGCGCGGTACGCGGACGGAACCCCCCACCCCCTAGAGGCCGCGAAGGCACGCGACACGACCCCTACTCATCTAACCGGGAACCCCCCCTCCATTGTCCTCTGGCTCCGCCCTCCATTGGCCACGCCCCCTGCCCCATCCTCCGCCACTTATTGGCTGCAGGTCACGCCCCTCCTCTATCTCCCCGTCCCCATTGGCTCCTCTTCCACGTTACCTCTCCGAGAGTTTTTTATTGGCGTAGGCCACACCCTCTCATTTGTCACCAGACTCCGCCTTGTGTCTGGGCTCCTCCCCAGCTATCTTTCATTCATTCCGCAAGTGGAGCTAGGTGCTCGGGACATGGGGGTCAAACAGATCCGTCCCTGCCCTGAGGCAGTTAAGGGGGTGGTGTGGGGACACGGATCTAGGCTCCGACAGTGACAGCTTAGGGTGGTAAAGAAGCCGCCTAGACCCTGGGAGCCTCCAAGACGCCAGGAAGGCTTCCCGGAGGAGGTGAGACCTAAACCAAGCCCTGAGGAATGGTTAGGAGTTTGCTACAAGGAGACATTGCGAGGGCATTCTTGGCAAAAGAACCTGAGACGTGAAAGAAACAGGAGTATTCTTGGTAATTGCGAAGAGGTAGGTCGAATGAAAGAAGGGGGGGTGGGGATGAAGGGAGAGGCGCAGAGACCAGTGAGGAGTCCAGAAAAGTGTAGTTAGTTGAGAAGAGTGAAGTCTGAGGCCTGAAATCTTTTCAAACAGCTGGTCACTAGGCAGAGGGAAGGGAGGTGGGGGCAGGGGATCAAAACTAGATATGGAAACATAATGCGTGGAAGGAATGATTCCAGTTCTGGAAGGAGAAGTGCTCTTGGGTTCATCCATTTAGTGAGCAACTGCTCTGGGTCGGGTACTATTCTGGGATCTGGGGACACAGCTGTGAACATTCGAAAGGAGAAAGCAGATAATAATGACATATACTGTACTTCAGGTGGTGACAACTGCTTCAGAAACCAATAATGTGGAGAAGGGAAGATTGTGGTGGCGAGGAAAGAGGAGGTTTACTATTTTATAGAGAGTGTGTTAGGGAGACTTGTTTAATAACATATTTGTGCAGAAATCTGAGGAAAATGGGAGTGAGCCCTGCAGTTATCTGGGGGAAAGCATTCCAGATAGGGGACATGTTCAGTCTGAGATGCCTGTTAAGTACATTCAAGTAAAGATGTTGTATTGAGAACTGGCAACACTAGTCGGAAGTTTATAGAAGTCTGGGCTGATGTACTTAAAATCATGAAAGCAGATGAGATCACCCTGGGAGTAAGCATAAATGGAGAAAAGTAGAGACGTTTCCATAGAAGTTTCCAAGTCCTGAGGCATTACAATGTTAAGAGATCAGGAAGACAGGAATGATGAGCAAGAAAGACCAAGAACTAACAGCCAGTGAGGTAGGAGAATATGTTTGAGTGTATTTGAGAAGCCAAGTGGAGAACATGTTTCCAAGATGACATGATTAATTATGTCAAGTGCGCCAATCAATATGAAGATCATTGATGACCTTGGTCAGATCAGTTTCAATGGAAAGTGGGGACAGAAGCCTAACTGGAGTGAAACATAAGAGGAAAAGAAGGAATCAGACTGCATACAGATGGATGTTGTGCTGCAATAAGGAGCAGCTGGTGGGAGATGTAGTGGGGCTAGAGGAGTGTGGGGTCAAGTGAGGGTTTGGTTTTGGTTTTTTTTAGGACAGAAATAAAAGCCTGTGTTTATGCTGCTGGAAAGAATCCAGTAGAGAGGAAGAGATTGATGGTGTTGGAGAAATGCTGGAATTGTGTCCCTGAGCAGGCAAAGGAGTTCAGATTCTGGAGCCTTCAGTCAGTCTCTGGGAAGAGACTGGATTGTTCTGAGCCCTAGTACAGAGCAAGGGGTGAACGTGCCAATGCCGGCCTTGGATGACCATTAGAAAGAGGCCTCTGATAGGAGACAGACCAAGGATTGGCTTGAATGTGCTGAAGTCTCCCTCTGCTCCCCCAAAAGCTGATTCTAATTGGGATTTAAACAGATGACCCAGAGGGGAGAGGGATCATTCCAGGTGGAGGGACTAACATAAGCAAGGGGCATGCAGGCACTCAACCTGACTAAGGCCAACTGAGCTGGAGGAGGTGGTGGAGCCGGGTGGGAGGGGAGGGATGAGACTGAGAAAATGCCATAGTTGGAAGGCAGGTAGAAGGTAGTGAGGCCCCCTCAGCCTTCATCCCAGCAGCTGGGGCTACACTATACCAGCTCCCAGTCTAGATGGGTGCTGAGCACAGGGATTAAAATCATGAATAGGGGCTCAGGCCTTACTCTCAGCAGCTCATAGTCTAAGGGGATTCCAGTACCACCATCTACGTGAGTGTATAAATTCTGCCTCCTCCTTTCCCCCAGTCCAGCTTCCTTGGGTAAGCCTGCTGGAGGGAATGGACACGGGGATGGGGGTGAAGGGCAGCTACCCAGACCCCTGGTGGCAGGCCCCAAGCCCACTAAGCACCCAGCCAGGGCAGTGTGGAGCACAAGGCCTGTTGGAGCTCAGGCCACACCCACTCATACTGGCCTCCACATGCCCTTCTGTGTTCCCAGAAGTCGACAGTGTGGGGAGTTGGAGTGACCCGGCTGGATGTGACCCCCAGGACAGAATGGTGCTGGACTCAGGGGCTCAAGTGTATGAACAGGCACCCCCCAGCCCACCAACCAGTCCCTCATCCTTGGGCCATAGGCTGAAGCCCTCAGACCGAGATGGGACACTGCTGTACCCCTGGCCTCAGTCCCTGGCCTTGCCCCTGGCTCTGTCAATCCCCTCAGCCCTGCGGCCCCAGCCTGAGCTGCAGCCCTTCTCAGAGCTGCACGTGGGCCCCCGTGGCCACATGCGTCGCAGTGAGAGCACCTATACTGTAAATAGTACTGGCCGGCGGGGGGGTGGCACCCAGGGTCGGGGCCCACCTGGACGGGGACGGGACCCAGGCGGGGGCACCCTGCGGTCTGCAGCCTCCCTGCCTCACATTGCTAAGACTCGAAAGGATGCGGGCCATGGTGCCAGCAAGAGCCCTTGCATGTTGGTGGCCTTGAGGCCAACCAATATGGACCGAGAGCGGGACAAGTTCTTCCAGTCCCACTACACCTACAACCCACAGTTCGAGTACCAGGAGCCCATGCCCACGGCTGTGCTGGAGAAGTACTGTGAGGCTTCTGGACAGTTCATCCATCAGGTCAGTCCAGCCTGCCTGCCTCACCCTGGTCCTGATCACCCAAGAGGCCTGGTCTCACCAGCCACCGCAACCCTATGTGCAGGCAGTTGGCATCATTGAGGCTGTCCTGGAGAAGTTTGGTACCTATGAACACTTTGAAGCTGCAACGGGGGGCCAGCTGCTGACCAAGTGCCAGATCTGGTCCATTGTTCGCAAATACATGCAGAAGGAGGGCTGTGTTGGGGAGGTGAGCTAGCCCTGTCTTCGAGGCCCCTCTTCTGTGTGCCCCAAACCAGGCTGCCAGGCCCAGCTCCACACCTGGCCAGCTTGTGATCCCAGGCAAGCCCCTGTCCCAATAGGGTGGCAGCTGGCTCTGAGGCAAAGGTGGTGAAGGGTGTGTGGCCTGCCTGCCCTGTGGCATCAGTGGGTCCACCTGCATCCTGGTCTCAGGGCTGGTGCCCATGGCTTAGGTTCACTACCACCCGCAGGTTGTGGTGCAGCTGAGTGAAGACCTGCTGTCCCAGGCAGTGATGATGGTGGAGAACAGCCGACCAACATTGGCCATCAACCTGACTGGGGCCCGCCAGTATTGGTTGGAGGGCATGCTGCGGCACGAGATAGGTCAGGGTGTGGGTAGGTGGGTGGGTGGGTAGGATGAGAGGGGGGCTGGGACAGGGTGGGGGGCAGCAAGGGGCCCCAGTAACCCCACCCCCTCTCTTTCTTCCCCTTCCTTCCGGAGGACGGGCCCTTTCCCTTCGTGAGCAGCTACCTCCTCCCTCTGGCTCACAGAGGTAGGCCAGAACATGCCTGCCCACTCTGGGCTCACCCTCATCTCTTGCTCCTTTTGGGTATCCTTTCCTCCCTCTACTTCTCTACTTCCTCTCTGATTTCCCTTGACAGTGGGGACAAGGCTGCTGAGGCCCGGACAGGCCAGAGGGAGTACTCTGAGGGTCCCACTAGCCCTGCCAACACGGAGGCCCTCCAGGGTGGGTGGAAGGCTAGATCCTAGGAATGGAATTAGTTGAGGACACAAAGCCAGGTTTTAGGAGGGGATAGGTTGAGCTGAAAAGGAGAGCATGGGACACTAATTATTGTTCCTTTCTATCTATCTCTCATCAAGAATCCTATAGCTCTGGGCAAAAGGTGTTTTTCGCTGGGGTCATCAGCATGACTGTCAAATTGATAGGGGCATGCAGGATGTGGGGCTGGGGTGGTTTGTGAGTTCCTGCACCTCTCCGAGGGGTGTGGGGGGCAGTGTGAGTTTGGAAGAGTTGTTTGTGTGTGTAGCCCTGGATGGGTGGGGAGGGATTCTGGTGTGTGGGACTCTCAGTCTTTGGGTGTGAGTTCACCTGAGGAGGGTCTTCCCACTCCTGGGGTTGGGTGAGTATGTATTGGGGGCGGGGAGAATTTGCGGGAGAGCCTGAGTTGAGGGGCTGGAGTATGCGTGAGTCACCATGAGTCACCGTCACTGTCACCGGTTAGAGGTTCTGTAGGAGGTAGCAGGACATGGCCGCAGTCTGGTCCCCTGGATGGCCTACCCAGTGCCTCCTTACCCTCGCCTTCCCCGTAGGCACTCACTACCTGCGGGGCGTGAACAACGCGCGGCAGCCGTGGCACAGCGCTGAGGGCCGGCTGCAGTACGGGCTGCGGCCGGCGAACCCCACGGAGGAGGGCTTGGCCAGCCTGCACAGCGTGCTGTTCCGCAAGCAGCCCTTTCTGTGGCGCGCCGCACTGCTCTACTACACCATCCATCGCGCCTCGCGCATGTCCTTCCGCCAGCTCTTCCAGGACCTGGCGCGCTATGTGCAGGACGCCGACGTGCGCTGGGAGTACTGCGTGCGCGCCAAGCGCGGCCAGACTGACACCTCGCTGCCCGGTGGGCGCCCGCGCGGGGTTGCGGGGAGGTGCCCTGAAGGAGGCCTGGGGGCGTGCGGCATGGGGGGGAGTGCCCTGAGGGGGGGGGGCCGCGGTGGGGGGGCGCTGGCCTAGGGGCTCACAGCCCTCCCGTGCCCCACAGGCTGCTTCAGCAAGGATCAGGTGTACCTGGATGGCATCGTGCGCATTCTGCGGCACCGCCAGACCATCGATTTCCCATTGCTGACCTCACTGGGCAAGGTGAGGGGCCACGGACCTCTAGAGATCCAGCCAGCTCTCCTCCCGGCAGTGTTCCCTGAGCCTCTGATGGCTGCCCGACGGAGGATTAGGTACCAGGCTTCTCTGGTGGGGAGACCTGGGTGGAGGTGGACAAAGGAGAAGTGACAGCCTGGCAGCCAAAAGTAGGTACTTGACCTAGACTGCGGGTGCATGTGTAGATACCATATCTCACAGGAGGTGAGCATTCAGGCCAGGGGAGCAGTCAGGAAAGTCTGGGGGAGGAGGCTGGAGAAATGGCCAGGGACCAAGTCTATGGCTCTGGGTGTCTGTGCCAGGCTGAGAAAGGTGGACTTCACCTGAAGCAAAAGGGAATCTGGAGAGCTTTAGGAAATGTCACTTTTGCTTTAGAAGACTCCCTGTGGATGTTATATGGGAGGTGGATTGGAGAGAGAGGCCTAGGGAAGGGAGTGCAGGGGGAGGAGGAGGCTGCCTTTCCAGTCACTCTGGTGGGATTGATGGTGGTCTGGTCACAGGGCAGTGGCCATGCAGCGGGAGGGGCAAGCTGGGGAAAGCTCTTCGGAGAGTGGAATTCCTCTAACCCAGTGGCCACCCTGAGTTGGAGGATGACATATTCCAGGTCCCTTCCCTCAAGCTGACCTAGAGAACCGTGACGGGGGAACCGTGGGGCTGGCAGAAGCTGGCACGCCGGCGTTCAGCGGTGGGTGTGGGGTCTGCGGTGCCTGAGGGAGATCCCAGGGAAGGTGTTCAGGAGGCAGCTGGATACCTAGGTTTGGAGGTGAGGGAAGAAGCTGGGTTGGGGTTAGAGCAGACACACCCAGGACTAAGCCTCAGGGTACATAATACTGGGAGTGGATCCAGAGGAAGGCATTCCAGGAGCAGAGGCCCATGAGCCATTGGTGGAGAGCTGGGACCAGCTACCTGAAAGCCATGGCTACGTCTGGCTGCCCCTGAGGCCCAGCTTCCTTCCTGCAGGTGTCCTATGAGGATGTAGACCACCTGCGGCCCCATGGGGTGCTGGCCAATACCCGGGTGCCCCACTTCATGCAAGACTTGGCGCGCTACCGGCAGCAGCTGGAGCACATCATGGCCACCAACCGGCTGGATGAGGCAGAGCTGGGCCGCCTGCTGCCTGACTGATGCCGGTTGAGGGCCACAGGCAGAGGCCCTGGACCAGGGCTCCAGATCAGCTCCCAGAACATGAAGCTGACTGTTCTGTGCTTCCATGGCCTGGGTGTTTCTTGGGGAATTGGGAGGGCGGGAGCATCCCAGGAGGTAGGAGTGGCAACATCAGAGGCTTTGTGTCCCTTGCTACCCTCTCTGGGGCCCAGGGAACAACAGTAGCATGCCAAGCAAACTGAGTCTGCCCTCCTACCTCTAGCTCTTTGTTGAGCAGAGGGGAAGCCTGGGGGCAGGAGGGAGGCTGAGCATGATGGGGATGGGGGGTGGTTTGGGAGTAGAAACTTGTTCTTGCATGAGATGGCTTTGGGTGTCTGCATACTCCAGTCTCTCCTTTCCCCCACCTGGCCCCTTGGTGCTCCTTCAGCTTTCACGCTGTCTACCTCTCAGTGGGTCCTGGTGGGGATCTCCCTTCTCCTGGGGTGACTGCCTGGGTCTGAGGGCCTGGCTTTCACACAGACTCAAGGGGCAGGGGTCCTGGTGGTAGAGACCCAGCTGGGCTGGGGTGTGCTTTCTAGCATTTTGCCTCTCCCACTAGCCATGTATTTATACCCTATTTACGTGCTCTGCTTCCTGGGGCTGGAGGCAGCAGCTTCTGATGGTGTGGTGGAGGGAACAGAGCTCCTCTGGAAGGCACGAACTGCTCCTAGCCCCACTCTCATCTCTCTCTCTCTCTCTCTCTCTCACACACACACACACAGTCCTTTAGGCCTTGTGGGTCAAGCCCAAGAGCTCACCTGGCCTTGCCCCCAGCCCTCCACTGGTCCATGCTGTTCCTGTCTTTGCCCACACCCTCACAGCTGGCCTCTGGCAAAGGCTGGCAGAGGCTGGCAGCAGCCACACTTGAGCCTGGGGGGCAGGCCCCTAGCTGTTGTCCCAAGTCCTGAGCCCCCCCCAGACCAGGATGGTGTAGAGGTGGTTGTTGCTTCCGGTTTCACCTCAGACTCAGCTGTGTGATGCTGACCCATTCCCACTCTCACCCTTGCCCTTGGTTTTCCCATCTATAAAACTCAGAAATGCAACTGGAAAGTCCTTATTCATTTAGCCAGTGACTATGTGTAGAGCACCTTTGTGTGCCAGTTACTGGTCAGAACCCTCACGGAGTTCCCAGTCCAGAGAGAAACCAGACAATTAAAACAATTAGAATGAAGTGTGTGGGCTCTGTCTACCCAAGATCCCTTCCTCTTTCTCTCTCCTAATCTCACTTCCCAAGGCTGTGAGCTCTAGCCTGCCCTAAGTGGAAAGAAGTCTCCCTTCCCTGGCTCTCTGCACCAGGCCCAAGGGCTTCCATGAAATGGGGCAGGTGACTACATAGCCCTCCTCCCCCCAACTGGTTCATGAGGGGAAAAGGTCTGTAGGGCAGGGCCCAGGGGTCTGGCCCTTGTCCCCGGGGGTCCTGGGACTGAGGGCTCCAGGGGGGTGGGGCTTGGGCTACTGAGGATGAAATGGGGCTAAGAACTGGACAGCGGGGCACAGAGCTGCCCAGGTTGCTGAGCCTCAGGGGCACAGACCCACACCCTAGTTCTGGGCAAAAAGCCAGAGTCACACAGAGAGCCCAGGCTGACCCTCCGGAGTTTATTCACTTCTAGTGGTACTGGGTCAGATGGAGACTTGGTGGCAACCCCTTCCCCCCCCCCCCCCCAATGCCAGGGCAGGATCCCAGGTCCTATCCGGCTTGGGCAGGGGTGGCCTGTCAGTGCTCAGGCAGTCAGGAATCTAGAGATGATAGAGAAAAAGTGGTCAGTCAGGTGGGGCCCAGCCTCCCACCCATTCGGCACCGGGTTTGGGTAGCCTCACACCTTCAGACTCGTCATCCGCCTCGTCACCTGCCTCAGGCTCTGGCTCGGGTTCGGGATCTGGCTCGGGTTCGGGATCTGGCTCCAGTTCAGATTCCGGTTCTGCCTCTGTCTCTGGTTCCAAATCCTGCCCAGCCTCATCAGAGGCCCCAGCTTCCAGCTCCGGATTGAGTTCCTCAGGCGTTCCGGATTGCACTGCCTCAGAGCCCCTGGGAACCCCAGCCTCTTCGCAGTCTGAAGCTCTGGGCAGTTCGGGGCAAGTGGTCCTCAAGCCAGGTGCCTCAGGTGTCCAGTGGCCAGGGCATGGAGTGTCGTAGCTGCGTTCCCGGTAGCCTGGGGCGGAGGTGGGAGTATCCGAGGCTCATTTTACGCCTCTGCGGTATCCTTGACACACACCCATTTGGGGGGCGGGGAGACTGCTACTCGGTTCCCCACTCTACCCTTCACGCCACGCCCCGTGCTCTGGCTCGGGCCCCGCCCCCGCGCGCTCACCGGTGCCCACGTGCTGCCAGTCCCAGGCGGGGTCGGGCGCCCGCGCGGTCCGCTGGGCGCAGTGCAGCAGCTCCTGGCAGGCGGCCTCGCCCTTGCTCTGCACCAGAAGCAGCAGGCGGCGCACCCTGCGCTCGGCATCCGGCAGCGCGTCCAGCGCCTCGTACTCGGGCCCGGTGAGCACGCCCCGCGCCAGCAGTGCATCCAGCAGCAGCCCCGAGTCGGCCTGCATCGTCTCCACCAGTCGTTTCCGCTCGCGGTCGATCGTTTCTGAGGGCCGCTCCTGCGCATTGCCCATGGTGGGGGCTGCATGGGGGAGGGGGAGAGAGGTAGCGGGAGCCGGGACTCCCCGCCCTTGACCTCTCTCCCAGGCTCTCAGTGAACACTCGTGGTTGGGATTTAAGTTCACCTCGACCCCGGCAGCCGGACAGCTCCTCAGCAGAGGGCTTGTCCCAGTCTCCTCCCCAGGCTTCTCCTTGGGCCCCTAAATGTCAGCTGTGGCTTTCCTCTCCTCTATGCTCTCCCTGGGTCCTTATTTATTCTCTACTCCTCTCTCCAGTCAGCACGTCCCTCCTGAGCCCCGCGCTGCCTGTGGATCCTACATTCTATTCACACCCAGTTTATCCAAACTAACTTCTTTTTCCCAGCCTGCTTCCCCACCTTAACAGGCAGAAAGACCCACAACTGATCCCGCTGCCCAACACCCAGCTTGCAGTCGGGTCCTTTCCAGTCTATCTGCTGAATATTTCTGTCATCCTAACCTCTTAGTCTAGCGTTTCATGTCCAGCTTAGACCCTGCGGAGCGCTGAATCCCCTCTGCACCCAGAGCACAAGTGCTGAGAGCCTCTCCTCACCGACCGAAGAAGCCCAGGCTCCTTATTCTGACCCTGAGGCTCATCTTTCCAGGACAGGCTCTGCCCCTGCAGCCCCTCACCAATGCCACCACTATGTCCTGGTTCCCTAATACCTGAGCAGGGTTACCTGAATTCTCTTGAGTCCTAGCTCTGACCAAGATCTCCTGACAGATATCCAACTGTCTCCTGCTGCCCTGGGAATCTTCTCTTGCTTCATCTTTAAATACCACGGACCTAACTCATAAAGGCTGCCAACAAGTGCTTGCTGAACTTCTGTTTTCTTCCATGGACCTTCCCATTTTGAGAGACTGTAGTAAGCAGCGGGTGTTAGGCAGAAATTAATCTGCTTTGTCCATTTATTAACAGCCAAGGACAATGGCCCATCACTTGTGGGGTGACCTGACCCAGGCAGCAAGGCCCCTGGCATTAAGGGGCAGAGAGGTCAGGCCCTAGACCACTCCCTCTCTCAGCCCATCTCCCCTAGCCTTGGCTTTGTCCACACAGCACCCTCCTGGGTTTCATCCTCCCTTTGAGGTCACTCCTCTACTTCTCTACCTGGCTCTAGGTCTGGGAGAGTGGCTGTGGTCCTAGCCCCCATCTTGCCTCCCAGGTCTCTCTCACTACCACCTGGTGTCATGCTATGCCTCCCTGGTCATTTCACCACTCCTGGCTATACTGAATTGTCAGCGCTTCCCCCAGACTACTGAGCAGAGACCAGAACTACCCCCTGCCCCTCCCTCTCCCTTCAGGTGGCATCTCTTGACAAATGCTATTCCTCTACTACTCAGTGGGTCTCCAATAGCATCTTCCCTCAGCCCCAGCATCATCACCTCATCTCCTATGACAGTCTCTGTAAGTACCTCTCACTTCCATCCCATCACCCTCACAGCACAGTGACTTTGACAAGTCTCTGGGACAGGCTTTATTATCCCCATTTTACAGATGAGGAGACAGGTTCAGAGAGACCAAGAGGCAGAACTGGAATCTGACTTGCTCTAGCTTGAACTACGAGATCTCTTGCCAAGCAGAATATCAGCCCTAACTACTTGTCTCCTTTCCCCACTGTCCATCAGAGAGAATCAAGATTATGTGGCCTGGCCACTCAAACCACCTCCCACCCCTCTGGACAGCCAGGATTCCCCCACCTACTTCCCTCCACCACACAGTGCTGGGAGAACCGTTCAAGCCCCTGGCACATCAGAACATTTGCAGATGCTGTTCCCTAAGCCTGGAATACCCTTCCCCTTCCTCCATGCTGTGGACCCATCCTCCAAGACTTAAATGTCACCTTGTCCACCCCAGTGCCTGAGTGTCCCAAAGATAGACTAGTCCCTTATCTTGTGTGCCCCAGTAACAGCATATACTCTCACCACCATGCTGACATCACTGCACTGTGTTCATGTAACCTCTGCCCTCTCCAGCTGAGACGTCCAAAGACTGTCCCCCCAGTCAGGGGTGCAGGACCTGCTCAGTACAAGTGCGGGGGAGGGGGCGGAGGGGGGCAGATTGCCTTGGCCCCTCCTTCTCCCTCATTGCTCCGCAAGTTATTTTCATGTTAGCCTCCTCCCTGCAGTATGCCAAGTCCTGCACTTTGTCCTGTCTGGGGTGCAGAGACCCCAGCTGCAAGTCAATGCTCAGAAGTGAATACCGACGGAATCCCAGCCAGTTCTTCAAGGGTCACAGGCCAAATCCTTCCCGGAGCTTCACGCAGCTCCAGGTGCGAGGCATCGGGGGAGGTCTTGGCCTCCCTCCCACCCCTCTGCGCGGTCTCTTATGCTAGGGAGCG